TCTTTTGTCTATTTTAAAAAAAAAAAAAGTGTCGCTTATTTGGAGAAACTTTATTTTTTTGTTTTTTTTAAAAAAAAGTAAAAAGACCACCCCCCCTTTCTTCCCGCTCGATTCTCTTCTTTTTATTTTAAGGAATAATTCAATCATTTCTTTTTCTTTAAATAACTAACAACGTTGAATGTCTTATATTTCTTTCAGGGCGTCACGTTGGCTGCACCCCCACCCAGTTTTTTCCCACTCAAGTTGGTACGGGCTCTAGTCTGGTTTTGCATCCGGGCCTGTGTGTGTGTATGTGTGTGCATGTGTGTGTCTGTGTGTGTGGGCTGGTGTGTGTATGTGTGTTGTGGAGGGGGGGGGGGGTTGAGGAATGCAAGAGAGAGAGAGAGAGAGAGAGAGAGAGAGAGAGAGAGAGAGAGAGAGAGAGAGAGAGAGAGAGAAAGGGAGAGAGAAAGAGAGAGAGAGCAGGGAGAAAGGGAGAAAGTGAAATAGATAGATAGAGAGAGAGAGAGAGAGAGAGAGAGAGAGAGAGAGAGAGAGAGAAGGGGGGGGGGGAGAGGGAGGGAGAAAGAGAGAGGTCACTTTCTCTCGAGCTCACAACGTTGTAAATTGTAATTTCTTCGACTGTCCTTCTTAACTCACTCGGGACCAGCCCTCGGGACGTGTCTGCCTTTTTACACCATTCGACCTTGTCATACACACATACACATACATACACACGCACACACACACCAGCAGCGCTTGACATAATATGAAAATTGTACTCCCCCCCACCCATTCCTCTCCCACTCTACACACACACACACACATACACACACACATACACACACACACATACACACACACACACACATATACACCGAGAGAGAGAGAAAGAGAGAGAGAGAGAGAGAGAGAGAGAGAGAGAGAGAGAGAGAGAGAGAGAGAGAGAGAGAGAGAGAGAGAGAGAGAGAGAAAGTAACACTCACATCCTAATACAATGTAATAACAATGATGATATTGTAGTCTTCTACTTCTACGTGAAGTCCCTCCCATACCCCCCCCCCCCCCAAACACACCCGTAGGAAAAAAGGTATCGACTCAAAACAAAACCCCAAAAATATCCCCCAAAACGCCACCTCTCCTTATCCCTCGAGGCCATTGTCCGACCACCATATTTTGTTTCTTACAAACGATTCAGAAAAACTTTCTAATTTCTAAAGAGGATGAAGGTGTGTGTATGTGTGCGTGTCGGGGGGGGGGGGGGGGGGGGGGTTTTTTAAACACGGGTGCCCGGGTAAGTTAAAAAAAAAAAAAGGGTGTGGGGGGAGGGGGGGGAGGCTTCCCCAGAGAAAACTTTTTCTTTTCCGTTCAAATGTTTAAAGAAAAAATAATAAAAGGGGGGGGTTTATGTTTTTAATTTTGTGGGGGGGGGTCGGAAAAGGGGAGCTATTTAAAGGTTTTGGTGTAATAAAGTCGGGGGGGGGGGGGGGGTACAGGGAGGGGGGAGTTTCTGTCTGTACGTGAAAAAAGGGGGAGGGGTGGAGGTGACACAATGCCGAAGTTTCGTTATTATGATGTGTGTGTGCACACTGTGATGTGACAATGACAATTGCGTCTTCAATTCTGTTCTTACAAAAATTTTAATTACCTCTTGTATTTTTCACTCTCTTTCGCGTACCCAGCTTCCTGGAGTGATCGTTGACCTTTGTGCATTCGTCTTTGCCTTTATTTCTTTCACAGCCTGTTGGTGAGACTGGCGTCAGTGGTGTAGCGATTAGACACTTCATTGTCTCACGCAGGACACCTTAGTTCACTTCAAGAGTGGGGAAAATTATTATTGAGTATCTCGATCTTTTCACTCTCATTCCAGGTTGGTCCTGGCAGGCACGGTTTGAAGCCCGCCTCTTAACTGATCTAAATTGTGTTGATGAGGGTTAATATTAACACACACACACACACTCACACACACACACACACACACACACACACACTCACACACACACACACACGCACACACAGTGGTGGGTCCATGCGTCGGTGAAAGGGTTAAGGAGTACTCAACCCGCCCCGGGCTGTGAAGTTGCGGGGTGGAGCGATTCGAGCTGTTGGGTTCAGAACTACGTAATCTGTGACGAATTAGATCTAGGTGTTATCAACACAATTGAGAACTTAAAATGAGGGATCAAATTCAAATGTAGCCATAAGCGATTGGTCAGCCTTCCCCTTCCCCCTCCCTTTTGCATGAGGGACACGTGACTGTGACGATGTTTGAGACAAAGAAAAACTGCAGGTAGCCGACACAAAGACTAAGTTTCTTCTGAACTCGGATTGAGGGACAGCGAGTGGCAAAACCCTCAGTCTTAGTCCTGACATCCTGTAACTCACATCGCTATGATATTTATTTGTTGTGCATGCTTTGCCGAATGAGGTTTACTCAGCGTGGTTATTGCTATTTGTTGTTCATTGTACTGAGTGGTGCTACACTCGTTGACTTGTTCAAACCCTTAGGAAACAAAGTGGCTTACAGTAGTTATTATGATATTTCATTTCTTCTCGACGCTACATTGACAACCTCGATTTATTCCCGTGGTTTGTGTTTTTTCGTGATCTGCAGCGCGCTGTTCATCCTCGCCCTGTTTCTGGTTCTCCTTGTGTTAAAACTAGAAAACTTTTCACCAATCGTGCCAACGTCGGTGCACACATAGTTTGAAAGGATGGCAGACTTTTCTCAGGACTCCAAGCCAGACTCTCCTCACAAGAGAACTACGAATATGTTCTCTACACCAGACAAAGATCTATCAACGTCTTGTGTCAATGTTTCGGATGCGTCGAACACAGATGCAGCTTTCGTTGACGGTGTGTCACAAACATCAAACGGAGATTCTGCGAGTACTGACGACCACGTGTTTCGTACAGCAAATGTGGAGGCAGCCACAAACGACGATGCGTTCTATACAGCGATCATAGATGGATTATGTAATGAAATAGAGGCAGATTCGTCAAGTATGGATGTAGTGAGCAGTGTTAATGTGTTTCATACAGATTCAGCCTATAACGACACTGCGCTTTGTAGATCAAACATGGAGGGTACAGTCTCCAGCGATAATACGATATCCACTCCGAACATAGATGGACCCTGCAATGATGTTGTGTTGAGCTTGTCAAGTATGGAGGCAGTGTGCAGTGACGACGTGCCCCATACATCAAACACAAATGCAGCCTGTAATGAAACTGTGTTGACTACACCAAACGTAGAGACAACCTCAAGTGACAACGTGTTCTTCACACCGACCAAAGATGGACCCCGTCGTGACAATTTGTTTAATACGTCAAATACATGTAATTTGGATGCCTTGCGCAATGGTGGCCTGTCTCATACATCAAGCACAGATTCAGCCTGTAATGATACTGTGTTGACTACACCAGACATGGAGGCACCTTCTACTTCTTATGAAAGCGTGTTCCGTTCCCCGAACAGAGAGGGACTTTGTAATGACAATGTGCTGGGTACAACAAACATAGACATAGCTTACAACGATGTTGCTTCCCATGCATCGGACACAGGAGAGGTTGTTTTGCTCTCTGGGCCATTACCTTCTGATACAACAAGACGGAAACGAAAGCAAAGAGGCCGCAAACGACTTGCACCTGATGCTCTCCGTGAATTGAACACAGATGAAAAAGGCAAAGACAATATTCTAATAAATGAAACCGAGGTCTGTGATGGCGGTGTGGTTATCGACACGGATGGAACCTGCAATAACGGTCTGCTCAGCGCAGTGAACAAACATTCTGGAACCTGTGCAATTCCGGGAAGATTGGTTCTCGGTTCAACACAACGAAAGCGAAAGCGGAGACAAAAAAAACGACGCACACAAAATGTTTTTAGTGAAAAGTATGAGCCTACCGGAGAAAAACTAGGTCATGGGTCTTTTGGCTCCGTTCTGACATACAAGAACAAGGAGTCGGGGGTGGAATATGCCGTGAAGATCATCGAGAACTGTCTAGGTGACAGACTCCGCAGAGTTTTTAAAGAGATCAACATCTGCCGTCGGTACAAAGACTGTGAGTATATCATCAACCTTGTGGATTTTTATGAATATGGAAATACGTTTTACTTAGTGTTCGACAAGATGGCCGGGGGTGACCTTGAAGGCATGTTTAATTCATACCCGTTTCTGACAGAGCCCGAGGCATCCCGTGCGGTCGGCGCAGTTGCCCAGGCGCTCCTGGTTCTCCACAGCGATGGTGTAGCTCACCGAGATATCAAGCCAGAAAACATCTTATGTCGCACAAACGGGGAGGTCACCTCACTCGTTCTGTGCGATTTTGGCCTAGCGAGTGAGTCCCCTTCTCCGTGTGAATCCCCAGGAAAGAAAATAACCCGGCCTGTTCTGAAGTCTCTTGTGGGATCCCCGGAGTTCATGGCACCAGAGGTCGCAACCTTGATGTTATCTGGATGCGAGGGGCCCTACGACACCCGCTGTGACATGTGGAGTCTGGGTGTGTTGCTCTATGAAATGCTCTTCGGATTCCTCCCCTTTGACCGCGACTGTGGTCGACATGTCCGCGACTCCGGCGAGAACTGTATTGACTGCTACAAAAGCGTGTTCCCTCGAATCTGCAGCGGGGAGTATTTCTTTCCTGAAAGCGCCAAAGAGTTTCTGTCGGACGACGCCGTGGATTTGATCCGGGGCCTTCTGGTTGTTGATCCTAATGCCCGCTACTCGGCCGCCGACGTGCTGCAACATCCTTTTGTGACCGCCAACAAGAACCTATGCAGTGACTCCCTTATAGCGACTAGGCCTAGTCCAGAAGTGTCACAATGTTGATCGCTTTTTTGCGCTTTATTTTATTTGTTTAATTGTTTGTTCGTTTGTTTTCTTTGTTTTTTTGTTTTTTTTAAAAGACAAAGACGGCATTTTCATAAGCTTAAAATAAGTGGCTGTCTCTACACTTTACGCTTATGGGACGAGATAATCTCAGTATTACCTTTGACAAAAGATCTCCCTCTGTACATGTATGTTTTAAAAAGCCTATTTTTTTCTTTTTTGATTTTCATTTCATTAAGGCGAACACACCATATTTATGCTTAGTAAGCGAGTGTCTTTACTTTAAGAGGACGATACATTTTCAGTACAGTATTATGATATCTGTCACAAGGAATCTCAATATATGTTCACGTACTTTTTAAAGACGTCTGATGAGTAATGTGTTGTGTGTGTGTGTGTGTGTGTGTGTGTGTGTGTTTGTTTGTTGTATGTTTGTCAAGTGCACGTATTTTTTTGTTTACTGTTTTACATTTGTAATTGGTGATTGTCCTTGGAAAAAATTACATGTAGTTTTATTTATTATGCTTCTTTCTCATCGTTTATTATGTTTCATCTGGTTGTTTTTATCTAATAAAATATCCAGTGACTTGTACGAACAGTAACCAAACACGGATTTCTAACTTTCATTGTTTTTGTTGATGATATTAATCTTCACTCGTTTCTTTAAGGGCATGCTTGTGCCATACGTGTTTTACAGATCAATTGCTTGCTGTGTGGTTTGCGTATGATCCATAAGCCAAATGAAAAGCGTAGTTTCCGACATCATCGCCCCTTCTACTTCTTCTTCTTCTTCTTCTTCTCCTTCTCCTTCTCCTTCTCCTCCTCCTCCTCCTCCTCCTCCTCCTCCTCCTCCTCCTCCTCCTTCCTCTTCTTCCTCTTCCTCTTCCTCCTCCTCCTCCTCTTCCTCTTCCTCTTCCTCTTCCTCCTCCTCTTCTTCTTCTTCTTCTTCCTCCTCCTCCTCTTCTTCTTCTTCTTCTTCTTCTTCTTCTTCTTCTTCTTCTTCTTCTTCTTC